CCCAATTAAACACCAAATTGGAAATCCTGAAAATTAAAGATGAGATTAATACAATTGAATGTAAGAAAACCATTTAATTAATAAATAAAAAACCACTAAAATAAATAAACCAATGGTTAATATGATTTTTAAAAAGAGTAGAAAACCAAATCACTAGTATCAAAAATGAAAAAGGTGAATATACCATTAATGAAGGTGAAATTAAAGCAATTATCAGGAGTTATTTTGCCCAATTATATGCCAATAAAATTAACAACCTAAGTGAAATGGAAGGAAACTTACAAAAATATAAACTGCTCATATAACAGAAGAAGAAATAGAATATCTAAATAAACCTATGTTAGAAAAAGAAATTGAACAGACTATAACTGGGCTCCCTAAGAAAAAATACATCCGAGCCAGATGGAACTACAAGAGAACTGACCAAACATTTAAAAATCTACTAATTCCAATATTAAATAAATTATTTGGAATAATAGGCAAAGAAGGAGTCCTACCAAACTCCTTTCATGAAACAAGTATGGTGCTGATACCTAAACAAAGAAGAGCAAAAACAGAGAAAGAAAATTCCATATCGATTTCCCTAATGAATATTGATGCAAAAATTCTTTTTTTTCACTTGAACTTTACTTTTTTTATTAATTTATTTTGATTTATCAACAATCACTTCCATATGCTTTTGAGTTTAAAATTTTTCTCCCCCTTCCTCCCCACCACCCTCCCCAAGATGGCACACAATCTGATATAAGCTATATATATACATTCTTATTAAACATATTTTCAGATTAGTGATGTAAGTAAAAATTGGAACCAATAGGAGGAACCACCAGAAAGAGGAAACCAAACTCAACAGAAGAGAGAAGAAAATAGCAAATAGTATGCTTCAATCTGCATTCAAATTCCATAGTTCTTTCTTTTGATGTGGATAGCATTTTCCATCACAAGGCTTTTGGAGATGTCTAAGATCCTTGTATTGCTGGGAAGGTTTAAGTTTATCAATATTAGTCGTCGTACAATGTGGCTGTTACTGTGTACAGGGTTCTTTTGGTTCTGCTCATTTCACTTAGCAATTGATGCAAAAATTCTAAGCAAGATACTAGCTAAAAGACTACAGCAATATATCACAAAAATTATACATTATGATCAAGTGAATACTTCACAGGAGTACAAGGCTGGTTCAATATAAGAAAAACTGATTATATCAAATATAACTGATTATATTAAAAACAAAATCAACAAAAGTCATATGGTTATTTCAATAGATGCAGAAAAAGCTTTTGACAAAATCGAATACTCCTTTCTTTTAAAAACACTTGAAAGCATAGGTATAAATCGATTTTTCTTTAAAATGATAAGAAGCATTTACCTAAAATCACCAGTAAGCATTATCTGTTATAGGAATGAGCTAGACACCTTTCCAATAAGATCAGAAGTGAAGCAAGGATGCCCATTATCACCACTATTACCTAATATTGTACTAGAAATGCTAGCAATAGCAGTAAGAGAGGCAAAAGGAATGGAAGGAATCAGAATGGGTAGTGAGGAAATGAAACTGTCTCTTTTTGCGGACAATATGGTGGAATACTTGGAAAATCCTAGAGATTCAACTAAAAAATTAGTTGAAACAATTAAGAATTTTAGCAAAGTAGCAGTATATAAAATAAACCCACATAAATTACCAACATTTCTATATGTTACTGTCAAAGCCCTGCAAAAAGAGATAGTAGAGATATTTCATTTAAAATAACCATAGACAATATAAAATACTTAGGTGTATTTTTAACAGATTTAAATAATTGAAGAAATATTAATTGTTCATGGGTGGGTTGAGCCAATATAAGAAGAATGACAATTTTACCTAAACTAATTTACTTATTTAGTACCACCCCAATTAAACTACCAAAAATTATTTTATCGAGCTAGAAAAAATAATAGCAAATTTCATTTGGAAGAACTTTTAGTCAAGAACATCAAAGGAATTAATAAAAAAAAAATTAAAAGAAGAAGGTCTCCAGTACCAGATCTTAAACTGTATTATAAGGTGGTATTGGTTCAGATACTGGCTAAGAAATGGAATGGTAGCTCAGTGGAATAGAGTAGGTATACAGTACACAGTAGTAAATGATTATAATAACCTTGTGTTTGATAAATGCAAAGATCTAAACTTTTGGAATAAGAACTCACTATTGGGTAAAAATTGCTGAGAAAGCTGGAAAGCAGTCTGGCAAAAATTAGGAATAGATCAATATCTTACACCATTTACCAAGATAAAGTCAAAATGAATCTATGACCTAGACATAAGGGGAGATATCATAAGTAAATTAGAGGAGCATGGAACATGTTACTTATCAGGTTTATGGATAAGAGAAGAATTTATGACTAAACAAGAGATAGCATTATGAAATGTAAAGTGGATAATTTTGATTACATTAAGTTAAAAAGGTTTCATACAAATAAAACCAATATAGCCAAGATTAAAGGAAAGTACAAAATTCTTATAGACAGTTTCTTGGATAAAGGCCTTATATCCCAAATATATAGAGAACTGAGTCAAATTTATAAGAATATGAGCCATTTTCCAATTGATAAATGGTCAAAGGATATGAAAAGGCAGTTTTTGGAAGAAGAAATCAAAGCTAAATATGGTCATATGAAAAAGTGCTCTAAATCATTATTCATTAGAGAAATACAAATTAAAACAACTCTGAGATATTCTCACACCTATCAGATTTGCTAAAATGATAGAAAGGAAAAATGACAAATGCTGGAGGGACTATGGAAAAATTGGGACACTAACACACTGTTGGTGGAATTGTGAACTGATCCAATCATTTTGGAGAGCAATTTGGAATTATGCCCAAAGAGTTATAAAACTGCATATACCCTTTGCCCCAACAATGCCACTATTAGGTTTGTTTCCCAAGGTGATCAGGGAAAAAAGATAAGAAAAACTTTTATGTTCTAAAATATTTGTAGCAGCTCTCTTTGTGGTGGCAAAGAATTGGAAATGAAGGGGGGATACCCATCAATACAAGCTGAATAAGTTGTGGTAAATGATTTTGATGGAATATTACTGTGCTGTAAGAAAACCAACCAACAGCAGGTTGGTTTTAGAAAAACATGCAAAGACTTGCATGAAATAATGCAGAATGAAATGAGCAGAACCAAGAAAGCATTGGTATAGTAATAGCAATACTGTTTGAAGAGTAACTATGAATTACTACCAAGTTATTTTGAGTAACATAATCATTCATATCAACTACGAAGGATTTATGAAGGAAAATGCTATCCACCTCCAAAGAAAGAACTGATATATGGAAGTATTTATTGTATAGTTTATACATATATATATATGTATGTGTGTATATGTATATATATACACACATGTATGTATGTGTATGTATATGTCTTTGTGTATATATATATCTATGTATATGTATACTTACATATACACACACATGTATAAAATTTTGGCCTCTAATGTGGGGTTGGGAGGGAGGGAGTCAACTTAGAACTCAAAATGTAACAAATATTTTAATTTTTAAGATTTCAAAATAATGCAGATTAAACTTAAAAGTGGGTTGTGTATTTTTTAAGGAGAGGTAATTGTTAGACATTTACCACTATACCCCTGAATGTTTGAAACCATCTTATTTGACAGATGAGGAAACTGAGGCTTGGAGAGGTGAAACAACTTGCTTGAGGTCACATAGTTAATTACTGATAGGGTTAGGACTTGAAACCAAATCTCTTGGTTCTTTCTTTCTTTCTTTCTTTCTTTCTTTCTTTCTTTCTTTCTTTCTTTCTTTCTTTCTTTCTTTCTTTCTT